TAGTGTAAGGCATTTATGGACTAATGTTTGTAACAATGTTAAATAGACTGTTGTAGTGAGTCCAGTTGCTCAGTGTCTGACTCCACAGGAGGAAGTCAGTCAGGCTGAAGGAATGCTATGAGAAACTGATCATCATAAGACCCCTCCACAGTTATGAGTGTGTGTGTGTGTGTTTAAGGGGGAGGTGGGGGTTCTCGCCTTAATCCACGTCACGCTCTTTCTCCCGCCCAACACCTGTTCATTACTCCATAAATCCTCCCCAGACCCAATTAAACGGGCCACAGAGAGTCAGCCCGCGGGCCTTTGAAGAGGCCGAATGGGAAGCAGACTTAGTGACAAACCACAAAAGCTGCCCCTGCTTCTCACTTCGTCTCAGATCTAATGGGCCGTTTAAATAAGTATATGTGTACATATAGATGGCTGGGCAGTCCAGGAACTGACAGCCTAGGAAACTACCCAGCGCCGGGGATATTAATAAATTGAATATAGCTGCGATCCCCAAATGGCCTTTCGTTCCAGTTTGTTTAGCTTCTCCCACTGTGAGTTTTTTGGCCACAGCTTCTAAAAGCTCCCCTCTAAGTTCTCTCGGCCCTGCAATCGCTCATTGAGGAGATCCAGAGCCGACACGCTCCTGGGGTCGTCCGCGGCAACATTGCCGGCGCGCCATAAACCCGACGGAGACAGTAATGCAGCGGGGGTGAAGTGCTCGGCCCGCGTGTTTAAGACGAAGAAGAAAAGTATTTCATTTGTGTCTGCTTTCACTGGGGTTCTAAAGGAGAGAGAAGAAAAAAAAAAAACACCCCGTCTACTTCGGGATCCTGGATTAACTTCAGCCATTTCAAAGTCTCTGCACTGGCAGTGAGGGAAAAAAAATGGAGCAGTTCACAGTCAGGGCCAACAGCAGGACATCCTGTTTGAGCTCTGAAATACCATTTCCTCCAATAAAAAGGAGACCCTAGAAGTAATCTCCCACAGAAGAGACACAGAGACATTGATTGTCATCCTGGCGCGGGGCCAAGTCTGAGGAGAAAGAGTCCAGCAGACCCACTGGAAGGCAGTCAAAAAGCACCTAAAGGAAGTCATTAGAGCCAGGGCCTGATGAAAAGGCTGACCCCCCAAAGGCATCCTCCAGACTGCTCGCCACAAAGGCTCGTAAATGCTGGCATCACAAAGAAATCGCTCCCCGATCGCGCAGGTTTTGATCCAGACACGGAGAGGGAAATTAGAGGAAAATGAACATTACAAGCATTTCCCCACTTTGGACAATTTGGAAAAGGTTTTTTCTTCCCCCAACATTCATCGTGCATTATTCAATGATGTACTTAAGATTAATTATGGCTTATTATTTCTGATCACGAAATGGTCCAAGAGAAACTAGCTTTGACATATTTTAATTCCTGCCATTTGCTATTGTGATGTTGTGCTTTTAAATAATATTCCACCGAAGTTTTTCCTGAAGATAAAAATTCTGCTAAATCACACCGGAAATTATGCTGCTTACTCTTAAAAAATGATTTCATAAAATCAAAAAAAAAAAAAAAAGTCCTCAGCAAGCTAGTCCTCAACAAGCGTGCTGATTCTGAATCTGAATAACAATGGATGTAGGCATACGAGCAAAACAAACCGCTTGTGAAGAATCTAATTCCGCCATTGAAATGAAATTGTGGTTTCAAATCACTTCAGAATGAAGGAAGTGAACTGAGAGCAGCGACCACCACTGCATGCTGGCTCCCTTTTCTCTCAGCCATTTTGTTCCCCAGCCTAATCCGCCATTGTCGTCAAATTTGCACACAGTGACAATAATTCAAAAGCACTTATTATATGTTTTAGCTTAGTTTTGTCCCAGGCCTTTTCTTTGGCCAATAGCGTTGACCTTTCTGCCAGTCCTGCCTGTGGAATTCTGGGTGGCAGCTCTGTCGCCAAAAACGCATACAAATTAGGTTTTCAAAAAAATCAGATCAAGTTATGTAAAGAACAAAAGCAAGCAGACTTCAAAAGGAGGCGAGAGGAGGGGACTGAGAGGAGGGGGTGATCTCCTCAGCCGGCGAGGAGAGGACCTGGTGGTGCAATGTGAAGAGTTCCCAAACCACCAGGTCCACAGATACCCTGGATTTGATGGTTTTTTTTTTTTGTTGCAACCCCCACCACCCCACACACCACACACACACACACACACACACACACACACACACACACACACACACACACACAGACACCCCCCACCCCCTTCAGAATGGGTCGGGCTCTTTGGAGCGGATCACAATCAAACCCTGGTCTTTGATTTCATTGGGACGGCCGCTGCTTCCCCACTCTACTCCCCCACTTTGTTCCTCTTGATGTGTCTGGGCGGGCCAGCGAGGCGTGACCCCTGCCGGCCCACCGCGTCTGAACGCGCTCGCGCCCGCGGTCGCTCCGCCGAGCACACACACAATGCGGGGCCGCCGCAGACGGGGAGAAGAAAGGAGGGGAGAGGGAGGGTAGACCCGCGGCCCCGCAAATCTGCGCCAACTTACTTTTCTCAATCGTCCTCCTCGTTCCTCACCCCTGCGCTGATTACAGGCATGGCCATGTTTCCCCCCCTTTTCCCCACGTCCTTTCTAGTAAGTCACCCATGTGTGGCTCGCTGGTGCTGGACATGAAAAAAAAACACCTGAGCGGATTGGCATCGTCCAAATTCCCGCCACCTGCCAGCACAAAGCCCTGCAGAGCAAAGCTGAACACTGAGGAGGAAAAAAAATTAATTCATTAGAATAGGTCTGTACCTTCTTCCTTTTATTCCCCAAATGTCTTATCTCACAATAGACCCCTTTACACCAAGCCGTAGCAGAATTCATCTGTAACTCATCCAGATGTAATGTCTTACTGCTGAACAGAAGCGACTGTACTGGTTTAAGGATAAATGGGATTGTTGGTGTGATTCTAAAATTTCATGAAATTACTGGAAATAGTTTTTGAGCAATTACATGTGATAATGCATTATTTTCAACAGGCTTTAAAATCTAAAAGCTCTGGCACAATCCAACCAGCAGAGGCATGACGCTGGACAGCACAGAGAACAGTGTGTGTGCGCGTGAGTGTGCATGTGTGTGTGTGTGTGCGTGTGTGTGTGTGTGTAGTATGTATGGGGGGGGGGTGGGTGATCAGATCGCAGTCCCCGTATGCACAGTAGCACAGTTTTTAAATGTCAATGAATTCATGTAATCTTCTGATGACACGCCGATATGCACTTCTCATTAAAACTTCATAAAGCGTAAATACTCCCACTGCTTGCTGGCACCAGATGTGTGTAATGGTTTATAGTAGGACCAGCTCTGGGACTCTCCTCCATCATGCGCTGTGTTACTGCCCCAAGGTACACTGCTTGTTTCCTTTCAACTAATTGAAAACAAATGAATGGGCCCCCCTTTTCTTGCCTCTTAATTGATTTAATGGTTCAGTGCTGGGCAAGGTTACTCTCTACATTTGGTAACTATGCCATACAGATGATCCAAAAAGGGGCTCATTAATTAAACACTTTTGATCATGTGTGCAGAATAATTACCAGCAACAAATCAAACACGCAACTTCACAAAGGTACACAGGAAGTCAATTAGGGATTTAAAACAAACAGCAGTAACTTGAGAGATGCTCTTTCTCAGATCAAATCCGTTGGCAAAACGCTTTCTGACAGGCAGACCAAACAGTGTTACCTGAAGAACAGGCGATGAGTGAGAGAGATCTATGGCATCTATTTTAACACCACAGGAGTAAGAGCAGTGACAGATACATGACCACACCTGTCAGCACTGTGAGAATAAGAAAGGCACACATTTCAATGGCTAACTGACCTTGTCTTCAGTCTGCGTTACTGATGTAAAGAGAGCTTTCAGCAATAATCACCTCTGTATTGAATTATGATTTGGATATGTCAGCGGTATATTTGATATTTCTATTTCATATTTTATGGTTTATGTTTCAATGCGGACTTTAATCCCTTTCAAAAAAAACCCACTACATGCTCATCCACACAAATGCTCAGGTGGTAGGAGGAAGGAAACATAATCTGTGTGCTAAATCAGATCTGACAAAAGTTATACAAACTGGTTTAACTCAGAGCTTAGTTAAATTGACTTCAATTTTGCCTGCTGACCACATCAACACACACAGAGGCACATTCAACTACGCAAATGTCAACAGCAAAGTCTTGCTGTATGCAGTGTCTTTAAACAGTGGTAGTTTAATTGTTTGAATGAACATTCCATTAAGTTTGTAATTACACCAGAATAGTGGGTGTCTGGCAAAAGGGTCCTTAGATCACATCTCTATTACAGTTGTTTTATTTTAACCAGATACGCAACTCTCTGTGTTTCTCATTGAAAGCTCTGTCTCTGACATTGTTGAATTTGTAAGCATTCCAGTCGACTGGCTCATAATGAACATTTTTGAAGGGGGATGACCTAAGAAGGCACATCTGTAGCTAGCCTAGAAACACACATCACAAACCGCAAAGCAAGGAATGCGGGGTATGAATATCTTCTCATAATAAATGGATTATCTGTGTCTGTTTTCCTCTGTTCATTTTTCTCCTTAGATTACAGTAAAGGGGGAGCTGATCCAACATATACCTGTCCATAATTTTTTGCATGGGCAGCGTTGCACTTCTGGTTGCCTTTGCTTCAGATGAGCGCATCCGGCATGCTAGTGCATGGCAGTTTAGAGCTATCATTCTGCACTTTTCTTAAGACAGGCATGTACAGCAATCCACTCCCTCTCCACTACCTTAATAAGGCCCTTTCTGAGCCTTTATCTGTGTTTGAGCCATCTGTCACTATTGCATTGCCTTCATCGCAGATCTCAGTTGTACCATTACGTTACATTACGTTACATTATTGGCATTTAGCAGAAACTCTTTTCCGGAGCATCTTAACCAGACTTACACCAGGTACAGTTTTTTTTTTTTTTTTTTTACAATGTTTTTCATTTATGTGGGTTAAGTACCTTGCCCAAGGGTACAGCAGCAGTGCCACCGTGGGGAATCGAACCGGCAACCTTTAGGTTATGAGCCCCACTCCTTAACCACTATACTACACTGCCACCCGCACCATACACCATGATAATACTGAAACTCCTCCATAGATAGCTTACTGGTGGTACACCAACATACACCGAACACCTGTAGATCTGCACCATGGTCAAAGCTCTCCATACAGTGTCTTTCTTCAGACAGGAAACACATTCACATCCAACCTGGCGAGCCCACAAAGACTACAGACAGCACCTGTCTGACCTCTGGTGCTGTCCATCTGTCTCTGCTGCGTACAGGACACAGGTTTGGGAAAGCTTCCCTTCACCCGGATCAATGTGAGGATGTGCGCTTAGCTTTAATGAAGCAGATTCCACAAAATCCTACTGCCAAACATCCCGTTTCCCTCTTGGTCACAACAAAGCTGACAGCACCACCGCAGTTACCTCTGCACCTCTCTTGGTATTCAACCGTATTCTACATGGTTGAAACCAATGATTAACACCAGGACAACAAATGGCAAAGGGGTGGTGGTGTAGCACTGTGGTAAGAAGCAGGGCTCATAACTGAAAAGTTGCTGGTTCGATTCCCTACTGGGGCACTGTTGCTGTACCCTTGGGTGAGGTACTTAACCCAGAATTGCCTCAGTAAATATCCAGCTGTATAAATGGATAACACGTACCAACTGTAGTTTACGTAAGTCGCACTGGATTAGAGCGTCTGCTAAATGACAATAATGTAATCTGAAGTATTCCTCTGTTCATGTAAATCACCTCTCAGCCTCCTGGTCATTCTTTGAGTCTTCACACCCCCACTTACTCACACAGCTCAGCTACTACACAAACACAGCCAAGGAGAGTTAATGACGACACCTTTAAAGTTTATTTTACCTACAGAAAGCCCTGAGATGTCTTATCTACCATTATTTGAGAAAGAAAAATTTCACCTATTACCTGACATAACTTCTTTTGCTCCAGTAAACTCCTGAATATAGGAGCCGAGTCACTTGGCACAAAATGTCAATTATCTTCCATGACCCCCTCGTGGAGCCACCGCAGTTCATGTCTGACACATTAACGCCGATCTCCCCGCTCAAGCTGTGATGTTAAAAGCTTGTTTTGATCGATAGGCAGTTTTTTTTATCACTAATTTGTACAGTAAGTACCAGGGCCCTTCAACTTATTCTTGATTGGTTAAGACAAGCCAAACAAATTCTGTTTTTCAGAGCGCCGCTTTACAGATTTACAGTAGATTGCTGTGGCAGACTGGACCTCCGTAATTTGTCTCATGTTTCAAACTTGATGTCAGATCACATTTACATAATGTTGGGTGATAAATGGAAGCAATTTCATTTTTCTAATTAATGGGAAACTTCGTTTCATGTAACCTCCCGACCTTTGGCTCTAATCGCCATTGGTTGGACATCTGCAAAGGCAATCTTGGCAACTGTCGATTGAGTGTCTATATGCCAGAGTTTATCAGAATCCAAGCTGTGAAATTCCACTGCAGTTGCAAGCAGTGGCAGCCTAAAGGCAATGAGGTATGAACACCAGTGCTTTGAGACCATTAGATTGTTTTTCTGCATCAGAACTGCATAGATTCTGCAAAGACTCACAGATCTTTATCGTATCTGGTCTGGCTAATACATCAGGCTCAGTAAAAGGGATGAGCCGTCCACATTATTTAAAGATTAGGGAATCAACACAGAATCTGCACAGCCTTGAGCCAAAATAACAAACAAACAAATCGCATAAATGCATGACACAGAGAAAGCTGGTCAGGGCTGTGAGGTTGGCGCTAGCCGCTATTTTGCATATTCTCACATTGGTCAGAGCCAAAGTGGAACATTCACGCTTCTGGGAGGCAGAGGAGGTAGCACTGAAAATTCTCTCACTCATCATCAATTACTCTAACAACAGGAAGTCTCTGCAATCTTTTCCAAAACTCCGCTTCGGTCTCTGAATACACAGATTTCAGACAATGGGAAACTGACATCTCATCTTTTTAGACATTGTGTGCCAGTGGAAGACAGCCAACGCTGTCGGTGCAAGGACAAATTAGACCAGAAGGAGGACAGAGACTGAAGCAGAGACAGCTCATGGAGAGTCTGAGCTTGAAAACATCTGACAGGGGAAAACATGTTGTCTGTCTGTCTGTCTGTCTATGCTTATAGGGGTGCACAAGAGAGCTGTAGCATCAAATCCCACCTGTCACACAGCTGATGTGCCCTTGACCAAAGAATGAAACCTGAATTGCCTCAGGGCATGTGCAAGACCCCCTAACCTTAAAAAGTCAGTCATGGTCACCCATGAGCAAACTCATCCATGCTTTTCATTAGATGTGTCTATGGCAGAAGTTTCTTGATCCCAGTGACATTTCCTCAAGAGTCAAGAATGTGCCTGACAAGAGTGCACAGACAAACAAACAGACAGGATAATGCAAACATCCCATCGGCCTTCATGGGATGTACAAGGGAAAATATTTCAAATGTAAGCAATTGAGAAGCACTGGATTAGGAAATCTTGTATGCAAATGAATAGTGTAATGCAATGCACACATTTCATTGTATGACTTCTATTTATTTCTGTCCCTTGACAATTTTGTTAGTATCCTGTTGGCTTTTCTGATTGCATTACAGTGGCAATCAGCAACTTCATCTGGATTCTGAACCTACACATCTTATTTACCATAATTCCATTTTCCATAATTTCACAGCTGCGCTATCATTTGCCAGAGTGCTGCACAGCAAAAAGTCTAATCATTTAAATCAGATCTCTGAATTAACGGGTAGGTCTAACTCTGATTTCAATAAAACTGACTAAAACAAGACTAGCACAGAACACCAGTCACGATACACATCAGTTTGATTCATCCACTATAAAACATTACATTTACATTACTTTCATTTAGCAGACACTCCTATCCAGGGTGACACAGGTTACACATTTACATGTGGTCCATTTATACAGCTGGTTATTTACTGAGGCAATTGTGGGTTAAGTACCTTGCCCAAGGGTACAACAGCAGTGCTGTAGCGGGGAATCAAAACAGCAGCCTTTTTCTTATGAGTCCTGCTCCTTACCACTACACCGCACTGCTGTCTTGACAGAACAGAGCAGAGCAAAACAGAAATCAAATGCAAATATTTAGACTCCCGCCTGAGCTCAGTGTACATGATTACTGAAAAACACCATGGCCTCACACAAAATAAGCCCACTTTCTAAATTAAAAGTGTGTGAGGCAGGGGGAGCTTCCACACATAAAACATCTGTTATGTGAAAGTGCTTCCAGTCAGCCGAGGCAACACTGTTCACCTATCGCAGTCACCCTAGGATACCTCTGGCTGGTGAACATGTGGGGAACTACCCCGTCTGTCAGGCAGAGGCCTGTCTGCATGATGTTGGCATGACAGCCCTGCCACAACCTGGCAAAGAGGCAGTTTGTCCATGATGTTTCAGCTTTAGAAATGGAGAGAGTTTTTCTTTGCTGAGGGCACCTCAAGGGATAAATTGTCTTTAGAATTGTCTTTTTTTATTCTCTCTCTATTGTACAAACTGGGTGACAGATACAGAGTAGACCTATACAATGTTGAACATTAAAGCAGACAATAACAAAGGGCATACCCCAGTGCATGCTGCCCTGCTTCCTGTTTCCCAGTGCATGCTGCCCTGCTTCCTGTTTCCCAGTGCATGCTTCCCTGCTTCCTGTTTCCCAGTGCATGCTTCCCTGCTTCCTGTTCAGTGCATGCTGCCCTGCTTCCTGTTTCCCAGTGCATGCTGCCCTGCTTCCTGTTTCCCAGTGCATGCTTCCCTGCTTCCTGTTTCAGTGCATGCTGCCCTGCTTCCTGTTTCCCAGTGCATGCTTCCCTGCTTCCTGTTTCCCAGTGCATGCTTCCCTGCTTCCTGTTTCAGTGCATGCTTCCCTGCTTCCTGTTTCCCAGTGCATGCTGCCCTGCTTCCTGTTTCCCAGTGCATGCTGCCCTGCTTCCTGTTTCAGTGCATGCTTCCCTGCTTCCTGTTTCAGTGCATGCTGCCCTGCTTCCTGTTTCCCAGTGCATGCTGCCCTGCTTCCTGTTTCCCAGTGCATGCTTCCCTGCTTCCTGTTTCCCAGTGCATGCTTCCCTGCTTCCTGTTTCCCAGTGCATGCTGCCCTGCTTCCTGTTTCAGTGCATGCTTCCCTGCTTCCTGTTTCAGTGCATGCTGCCCTGCTTCCTGTTTCCCAGTGCATGCTTCCCCTGCTTCCTGTTTCAGTGCATGCTTCCTGCTTCCTGTTTCCCAGTGCATGCTGCCCTGCTTCCTGTTTCCCAGTGCATGCTGCCCTGCTTCCTGTTTCAGTGCATGCTTCCCTGCTTCCTGTTTCAGTGCATGCTGCCCTGCTTCCTGTTTCCCAGTGCATGCTTCCCTGCTTCCTGTTTCCCAGTGCATGCTGCCCTGCTTCCTGTTTCAGTGCATGCTGCCCTGCTTCCTGTTTCCCAGTGCATGCTGCCCTGCTTCCTGTTTCAGTGCATGCTGCCCTGCTTCCTGTTTCCCAGTGCATGCTGCCCTGCTTCCTGTTTCCCAGTGCATGCTTCCCTGCTTCCTGTTTCCCAGTGCATGCTGCCCTGCTTCCTGTTTCCCAGTGCATGCTGCCCTGCTTCCTGTTTCCCAGTGCATGCTGCCCTGCTTCCTGTTTCAGTGCATGCTGCCCTGCTTCCTGTTTCAGTGCATGCTGCCCTGCTTCCTGTTTCCCAGTGCATGCTTCCCTGCTTCCTGTTTCAGTGCATGCTTCCCTGCTTCCTGTTTCAGTGCATGCTGCCCTGCTTCCTGTTTCCCAGTGCATGCTTCCCTGCTTCCTGTTTCAGTGCATGCTGCCCTGCTTCCTGTTTCAGTGCATGCTGCCCTGCTTCCTGTTTCCCAGTGCATGCTTCCTGCTTCCTGTTTCAGTGCATGCTGCCCTGCTTCCTGTTTCCCAGTGCATGCTTCCTGCTTCCTGTTTCAGTGCATGCTGCCCTGCTTCCTGTTTCCCAGTGCATGCTTCCCTGCTTCCTGTTTCAGTGCATGCTTCCCTGCTTCCTGTTTCAGTGCATGCTGCC